GTGGGAGGGGGAGGGGGGGCAGAGAAAAGACGGAGAGACAGAAAGCCGTCTTCTAGAGCCTGTGGCCTGAATTTGAACTTCTACCTTTCTGTACTATGAGAAAATAAAATTTCTATTCTTTAAAGCCACTGCCTGTTACATTTCAGTTACAATTGTTGTTGTTGTTGTTCTGTGCCGTGGAGTCGGTTCCTACTCCTAGCGACCCTGCACAGGGTTTCCGAGGCTGTAAATCTTTACGGAAGCAGGAAGCCTCATCTTTCTCCCGCGGAGCAGCTGGTAGTTTCGAATTGCTGACCATGAGATTAGCAGTGCCACTACCCTACCAGAGCTCCTTCCACTTCACTACAGGTGTTCTGAAATCGACAGCAAGGCTGGTGTCTGCAGGGCAGACTGGTTGGGAATTGCTGGAGCCTGGCATGGGGCTGTCCAAGAACTCACGCACGGCAAAAAAGATAGGGAAAATGCCAAAAGTCGTGACAGTCTATGTTGAAAGTTTTGGAAAGTATCACCAACCCCTCTATCTATCTCCATGCCCTGTGGCGAGCCGCGACCACAGGTGCCCGGGCGTGGGAGAGAGCTGGATAGCGCGTGCTGGAGCGGGACCCATGCCCACCAGAAGTCAACCGCGCCAAGGCTAACAGCAGCAGCAGCAAGATGGAGGCGAGCGGAGTCCAGGCGACTCTGGGCGCCGAACGGCCACCGCCGTTCCTACGCCCGGGCGCGGGACACCGTCGTTGTCATCTTCCAGTAGCTGATCGCCGCCTGCACCCCCGGCGCGCTACTCGTCGTCATATTCCCGTAGTAGTCGTCCAGACCCCCGTCTGAGCCACTGCTGCCCTGGCCGTTGCCCATCTCGGCGCCGAAGCACAAGCGGGCCAGTCTTTGACTGACTTGCAGATGGGTCGCTCGAGACCGTCACACACACAGTCGTTAAGCAGAGCCTCCTTGGGCACAGCCAGCATGTCCTCGATGACGGTGCGGCACTTATCCGTGCAGCGCAGCCCGTTGAAGAGCTTGCCACAATAAGTCAGGTAGCGATTGAGCGCCAGGTTGCAGCGGCTGTCGCGGTCGCAGCGCCGCCGGGGCCTCGGTGCAGCCCATGACGCCGCCTGCGCCAGGGCCGCCCGCGCCGCTGCTGCTCATCCGGGGCAAGCACGGCTCAATGGCGCACTTGGTGGACTTGCAGATCTCGTCTTGAGCACAGTTACAGTCTTCCAAGACGGGCCCGCGGCGCGTGTGGCTGAGCTGAATGAGGGCCGAGATGCAATGGCTTGGGCAGCGCCAGCGCGACGAGAAGAAGGCGGCAGTAGTAGCACTGGAGAATTTAGGTTGTTGTAACAAAATATCACACAAAGTGGGTGGCTTTAAAGACCAGAAATGTATTGTGTCATAATTCTGGAGGCTAGACGTCCAAATCCAGGGCACTGGCTCTCTGTTCTAAGGAATCTGAGACAGGAATTTCTATTCCATATCTCTTTCCTACCTTCTAGTGATGAACGGAAACCCTCATCTTGTAGTAGAAATCTGACATGCCGTCTTTCCAAGTCGCATGACCCCGGTTCCCCGTCTGTCTTCCCCTTTTATAAAACTAGGAGCCATCCTACTCTGGTGTGACCCAACAGATAACAGCTACAAAGAAAGACTGCATTTCCCCAAATGGGGTCACATCCACAGGAATAGAGTCAGGACTTCAGTCTTTTGGGGGACACCATTCAATCCTTAAAAGGGTATAAGGAAATGGGCATAACAGGGACTTGAAAAGCTTGCCAGCGTTTCTGCTCACCTGTGTAATCATCCTAGCAGAATCAGGAAGGATACAGAAAGCATGGCTGAGCCACCCAGTCAACACCCAAACCAGGGTCCCCACCCAGCTGAAACTAGCTTAAGATGTCACCAACAGATGGGGATGCAAATTAATGCTTGTTGTTTTAAGCAGATGAGTTTGGGGACTGTTTGTTATTCAGTATGATTGCTGTGCTAGGCAACTGATACATGCTGTTAATAAACATTAATAAGGTCTAATTGCCTCTCATACTTCAGACATATTGTCAGGAGGGACAAGTCTCTGGAGAAGGATATCATGTTTGGTAAGGTGGAGGGTCAGAGAAAAAGAGGAAGAACCCTCCCCCGCCCCAATGAGATGGATTGGCCAAGTGCAGCATCAATGGACTCAAGTGTGGCAACAGTAGTGAGGTTGGCTCAGGATCGAGCAGTGTTTCATTCTGCTGTGCATAAGGTTGCTATGAGTTGGTACTGACTCGATGGCACCTAACAACAACAACAACAGTCTATAAAAAATAGAGTCCTGGTGTGGTGCTGTGTGTTAATACGCTGGTCTGTAAAATCGGTTTGAACTACAAGGTTGGTGGTTCAAGCTCACCAGCCACTCCTCGGAAACCCTATACAGGGTCACTAGGAGTCAGAACTGATTCAACAGTACTTAATAACAACAATAATAACAAATCTATAAAAGAAGTTCTGGTATGGCTAATGTGCTAAGACTGCAAGTTCGGTTTGAACCACAAGGTTGGTGATTCAAGCTCACCAGCCCTTCAGAAACCCTATACAGGGTTGCTATGGGTCAGAACTGACTCAAGGGTATGTAACAACAACAGGATTCCCTTGAGGAGAAAGCTGTGCCTGACTCATGCCATGGTATTTTAAAATTGTCTCAGATGCATCCAAAAGCTGGACAAAGAATAAGGAAGACTGAAGAAGAATTGATTGAATAAGTGATGGTGTTGATGAAGAATATGAGCTACACTTTGTATGAGCTGCCAGAAGAATGAACAAATTTGTCTTAGAAGAAGCACAGCCAGGATGCTCTTTATAAGTGCAGATGGTGAGACTTTGCCTCTCATACATTCTACATGCTGTCAGGAAGGACCAGTCTCTGGAGAAGGACATCACGTGTGATAATGTGGAGGGTTAGTGAGAAAGAGGAAGACCTTCAACAAGATGGACTGCCACACCGGCTGTGACAATGAGCTCAAACAGCAACAATGGTGAGGCTGGAGCAGGACTGGCCAGTTGGAACTGGCTAGATGACACCTAACAACAGTGGCCAGCACTGGCCTTATCTCAAGTGTGTAACAATACTGCCCAGTGCCACATTATAGGAGCTCCATATACGTGTGAGAATACCACCCATTGCTTCCAGCCCATCAGTGGTCTCCATCCCCTTGCAGCTCTGGGGCAGCCCCTTCTTCTTTGTGAGTCCCACCCAGAGGGACCATCAGCTTTTGCATACGTGTAGAGATATCTCATGCTGGGTCTCAGGTGGGGATGGAGGCAGGCCACTGGCAAAGGACCACATGCCTTTCCTTTTCAATGTCAGCAAAGTTGGGGAAAGACAAAGACCACTCACCCCCGTCTCGTAAATGGGGTTGTCAAACTCTGTTTCCACCGTGATCTGGCTGTAGGGGTGTGCATACATCAGAGGGAGTCGCAGGTTGGAGTAATAGCGACATCTGCAAGAGGAGACAGAAGACGTGAGTTACTTCTCTCCAACAATACCGAAGGCAGCAGTCGGTTCCACCGCCCCAGCACTGTCCTCTCCACTGATGACAACAAGGACGTGTGACTTGGTCTCTGGCAGATGAGGAGCTGAGCCTGGGAAAGGCAGAAATCCTAATCGCTCTCAACTCAGACAGTGCTGACTGACATCTAGGAATCTCCTCTTATTGGGAACTGCGTGGAACATCATTCGTTTTTCACCTGGAAGGCAATTCACCAGGAGCCCTGGCAGCACAGTGAGTTAAGTGTTTTGCTTGGTAACCACCAGGCTGGCAGTTCAAACCCACCATTTACTCCTCAGGAGAAAGATGAGGCTGTCTGCTCCCGTAAAGATTTACAGCCTTGGAAACCCTAGGGAGTAGTTCTTCTGGGTCCTATTGGGTCAATGGGAACTGGAATAGACTCGATGGCAGTGTTTTTAAAAGGTGATTTGAATCCCTCTTTAGTATCACAACCATAATGAGCATTTATTGAACACTTATTCCTGTCACCTCTTCAGGGCAGCCCTCTCTGACTGCACTGAGAGGGAGCTTCAATACATTTGTGGGAAAATGGAGTGAGAAGCGAATGGAATTTTTTCCATGACATTTTTGAAGCTCCCTCATATTTAAAGGGGGGACCTCTGTCACTCACCACTCCCTATCTCTTCCTTCAGTGTGTTTATCTTAACCCACTGTCCTATAGTGACCTTAGAGGGCAGAGAAGATCTGTCCCATGAGGTTTCTGAGGCTGTCAATCTTTACGGAAGCAGACTGCCTTCTCCATCTCTCAAAGAGCAGCTGGAGGGTTTGAACTGCTGAACCTTTGAGTTATTTAACCACAGAGCCACCAGGGCCCCTTGCGAAGCACATCAGCCTATGATCACATTCCTGGGAGGACCACTTGCCTGAATGACGGGCCTTCAAAACATTTGTGGAGAGGTGGAATGAAAAGATAATGGAATTTCCCCATCAGCTTGTTGAAGATCCCTCGTCTGCTGCCCATCTGGACCACCCCGAAGCTGAGACCTTGGGCCCAGAACATCCTAGCACATGAAGTCTGGACATGGGGTCTGTCTGTCTCTCCCAGTTCCTTTTCCTGGTTAGAGAAGCCATTCTCCCTGATCTGAGCACACAGTCATCATTTTTTTTTTTTTACTTCTTTGTTGCTTGCTTATGTCCAGGTACTGTATGACATCTGGTAACCCCACTTCTATATGACCCTGGTGGGGAGGGGGCACATGGACCATCTGCCTGGCAGTGTCCCTCAGGTGAAACCTGTTGCACGGTCTCTTCTCTGTGGCAGTAAAGCGTCGTCCCATGCACTGTGAGAACGTGTGGCCTGTGTTCTTGTAGTTGGTGACTTCAGATTTTCCCTCCCCCCACCACACACATACACATGGATGGAGACCATGAGGCTCAGTTCTCTAGAGTGCTGGTGGTAGAGCATGCCACCTCACCTCCCCTGACCCCACAGCCCCCTACCTGGTGATGTAAATGTAGGCTCCTCCCAGCAGCAAGGAGATGATGAGGACTGGAATGAAAATAGCCAACGCCATGTTTCCACCTTCCAGGGACGTCTCAGCTGCCGCTTCTGCTACTAAACACACAAGCCGGTAAGGCCCTTGTTCTCACATGCTCGCCCTGGCTTCCCGAGGAGGAGGAGGAGGAGAACCTACTCAGTTCTGAACCCATATGAAGGACTGACACACAGAGCCGTAGCTAATGGAGAATCAGCCCAGACAAGAACAGAAGTCAGAGCTTGAGGCCACGGTGTTGGCCAGATCCTAAAATCCTCCCTTTTTTCTTTTCTTTCTTTTTTATTAAGAATTGGATGACGGTTTACAGAGCACATCAGTTTTCCATTCAACACTTTGTTCCATCTCATTGATTCCTATCCCCACAATGTAACACCATGCATCCCACTTCCTCCCTGTTTCCTGTTTCCAGTCCTCCTCCTTTCCTAACCCTTTTCTAAATTCTTCCCTTTTGATCTCAAATAATTGATTATTTTAAGGTGTAAGAACCTCCCTAGTGTTATTGTTCTTCTTGTACATGTATCATTTGGCTGAAAGTTGAACCATAGAAGTGAGTTCAGGTCAAGACCATAATCTTGGAGGTTCCTCCAGTCTCTCTCTGACCAATAAGCCTGGTCTCTTCTAGGGTTTTGAGTTTTCTCCCAGTCTCTCCAGGACCTTTCAGGGCAGTTGGAGTGGTAGCCGGGCACCATCTAGTTCTTCTGGTCTCAAAGTCATGGAGACCGATGCTCATGTGGTCCATGAGTCCGCTGTGCTAATTGACCTCAGAGGCCTTTTCAAGGGTTGGGACGGCTGTAGGGGCAACCCAGATGATCATTGTTGTTAGTTGCTATCAAGTCAATTCTGACTCATGACGATCCCACCTGTGCAGAAGTGGATTTTCAAGCCTGGACCTTCTGGAAGCTGATTGCCAGGCTTGTCTTCTGAGGCACTGCTCAGTAGGTTTGAACTGCCAACCTTTCTGGTGCTTAGCCATTTGCATCACCTGGGACTTGTAACCCTGCTCATACCACAATTTAAAAAAATATTTTTAGTGAAGTTGAAATCTGGTTAAAATCAAATTCAAGGGTTGTTATTGTTGTAAAGTACCATCGAGTCAGTTCTGATTCATAGCGACCCTGTATAGGGTTTATGCAGAACGGCTGGTGAGTTTGAACCACAGACCTTATGATTCAAACCAACTTTGCAGTCCAGTGCTTATTCCATAGGGTCACACCTCAGGGAAAAGCCCAAATGTGGAAAGTGGGAAGGCAGATTTGTTGGACATTCCATGGAGTGGAGAGAGTAATAACCATGGAGACTCAGGAATAGGGGGTAAGTAGGGGCTAGTCTCTGGGCGCTGCAATCAGGTGACATTGGAGACTGAAAGGTTGGAGGCTCGAGTCCACCCAGAGGCCCCTCGGAAGAAGATATTGACATGGAGAGGAGTTCTACTCTGACACACATGGGGTTGCCATGAGCTGTAATCAAGTAAATGACAATAGGCTTTAGGAATGTCTACCAACTGACTCGATGGCACATAACAATAAACAGTCCACTGGTGCTGGGGCCACATGAAAAGGAGCCTGGTGGTGGCTTAAGTGCTTAGGTGCTAACTGAATGGTTAGCATTTGACCTCACCAGCTGCTCTGAATCCATAAAGACTACAGCTTTAGAAACTCTATGGGACATGTCTTAGAGGATGTCTAACTCAGAATGGACTTGACAGCACTGGGCTAGGAGGGCTACAATCTATCAGATTTCTAAGCTGAAGCTCCTCAAACTGTCTTCTTACTTGTGGGAAGGATGGGACTTTTATCAAGCTTTATGGATTCTTCCCAGGGCTACCCAAACACAATGACCAGGAACCCTCAACTCTACATCTTGATGACACCCCAACTCTGAAGACTCAGAGACCACCCACCCCTGCATATTCTTGTACAGTCTCACCTGGAGGATCTCTCTTGGTGTTACTGTTGGGGGTGGAGGTGGTAGTTTGTGACACTTTCCAAGCATAGCTTGAAGGGAGGTTACTTATTTCTTGTGAAAGCTTGGCCTTTTAGGATCTGCCACCGTCTGTGGCCATGTCTAACAGAGCTTGACTGGACATCAATCTATAATCCGTTAACTATCACTCCACAGGCCTGAAAATTCTGTCTTGACACCCATAAAGCCTTTGGATGGTGCTCATAATCTTTGAGCTCCCATCCCCCACTCCCCAGGCCATGAGATATTCTCATGGCTCATTGGTTCACAAAAGGCAGAAATGGGATGGACTAACATAGAGGGTTCCAAGGCTGGAGATTTTTATTGGAGCAGAAAACCTCATCTTTCTCCTGCAGAGTGACTGGTGGGTTTGAAATGCCAACCTTGTAGCTAGCAGTCCAGTGCTTATCCTACAGTGCCATATCAGCACTCCCCAAATAGAGAATAATAGGTCTAAGTATAAAAACTCTCTATACCCTACCTCTGCTTTGCAAATGGAGTGACTGAGATGTACTTTTCCTTCACACTTACATTTGAGTCTGGGGTCTACCTGTCAGGGTCTAAATGTCGTCCACACCACCCCACATCCAAGGGAGCAACTTACTGTCCGAAAGCTAAAGTAATAAAAATACCTTCATTGACTGAAAGTTGTTTTTTTTCTCTTTTGAAAGAAGCCCTATGGAGAACATAAGGAGCTCTGGTAGCGTAGTGGTTACGAATTGGGCTGTGAACCTCAGGGTCAGCAGTTCGAAACTACCTGCTGTTCCTCAGGAGAAAGATGAGGCTTTCTGCTCCCTTAAAGATTTACAGCCTCAGAAATCCTGTACAGGGTCGCTATGAGTCAGAACCGACTCCACGGCACATAACCACCACATGGAGAACATATATACACATGTAATTTTTCCATCACTATAGTTGTGGCGCTGTGGTCTAATGTGCTGGACTGCAAAGTCATTTGAACCACAAGGTTGGTGGTTGAAGCTCACCAGCCACTCCTAGGAAACCCTATGGGTCAGAAACAACTCAACAGCACTTAACAACAACAACAAACAGTTGTGGCGAGTGGTTTGACATCAAATTTAAAGGAAGTTATACAGAATGGGTGAGTCTTGGTGTGATGCTGTAGGAGTAGCACTGGACTAACAGCAAAGTCGGCAGTTCAAACCTACCAGGAGCTCCTCGGAAACCCTACAGAAGGTTGTTATGAGTTGGAATCGACTCGATGGTACTTAACAACAACATACAGAATGGGATCTGGGAGTTTCAGTGGCTTGATTTCCTCAGTCAGTGCTCCTCACTCAAGTACAGACACATTCTCTCAGTGGAGGCCCCCAGGATACTCTGATGCTGACCAAGTTGCAGAAGAACTTAGAAGACTAAGATGGAGTAGGAAGAAAGGCCTGATCTACTTCTGAAAACCAGCCAACGGCCTGTGGATCACACCAGTTTGATCTGCAACTGACATGGGGCAGGCATAGGATCGGGCAGCATTTTGTTGAGCTGTGCATGGGGTTGTCATGAGTTGAGGCTGACCCTGACAGCAGCTACCAACAACACAGAATGCAGAAGGTGTTATCTGAGAGAAGGGCTGGAGAAGGAAGTAGCCACCAAATGGAAAACTAAAACAAAATCCTGGATGGCTTATAAGATCTGTTAGACATTACATTAATCAATGTTACTTACTGCTGGTGCTGTTAAGTGCCATCCAGCTGGTTCAAACTGACTTTGCAGTCCCGCAGCACATTAACCCACAGTGCCACACCAGGACTCCAAATGTTACTTGGGGGTTTCAAGGATGTGACCTTTAGGAAAGAGATCACCAGGCCCTTCTTCTGAGGCACTTCTGAGTGAATTCCAACTGCCAGTGATTAGTTGAGTAACTATTTGGGCCACTCAGGGGCCCTATTCCCAAACCAGGAGAGTGCTCACGATGACAGGGGAAGCTTCACTAGACTGAATGTCCCCACATAGTAACCATGGGTGTGTGTGGGGGCTTCCATGGTTGTACCTTTATAGGCACGTAGACTATCAGATGCTGCTGCCTTTCAGACTATGTTTAGGATGCTATGTTGGAAATGCAGGCAGTTTTCCCTTCACGATATCATTTGTTTGGAAATGGTCTCCAGCAGTGTGAAGGTCTAAGCTGCTGGTCAGACATCCAAAGACCTGCCCTTGGTTCCTACTCTTCACTTGATTGATCGGACTTCTCCGTTATGGAACTCACCTTCTAATGCATGTTCAAAGCTGTCTTGATTAACTGCAAGAGAAACCAAGAAGCATCAGTCAATGTCAAATATAAGCAAAGCCAAAAAGATTGGAGGAAAAGCCCTTGCCACGCATTTCTGAAGCCACTGCCGTGTTCTGACGTAGCTTGCCTACTATCCCACCATTGCCTTTGAGTTGATTCTAACTCACAACAACCTTATAGACTGGAATAGAACTGCTCCCTAGAGCATCTGAGGCTGTAAATTTTTACAGGAGCAGACTGCCTCACTTTTCTCCTGAAGAGTGGATGGTGGGTTTGAACCACTGACCTTTGGTGAGCTTTTTCACGCTTAGCCAACTGTACCACCAGGGCTCCTTTGTCTACTATAATCAGTGAAAATGGCTGGACATATTTCTTTCCCAAGTCCCAGAGAGAAGACAGATATGAAAACAACAATGATAATAGCTAATTGTTACTGAACTGATTTCAGCACCCATCACTTATTCTAATTTATCTTCTTTCCAAGATGAGTGGGACCTCATTACCGTGTGTTCGATACTGTGTGAAGAGTCTTATTTATATTTGCCCACCTCACCCTCACAATTCTATTAAGTAGATACTGCTACTATCTCTGGTGTGGTGTTGTGGGTTAATGCACCAGACTGCAAAGCCGTTTGAACTGCAAGGTTGGTGGTTCAAGCTCACCAGCTGCTCCTCGGAAACCCTACACAGGGTCACTATGGGTTGGAACCAACTCGACGGCACTTAACAACAACAATAACTACTATCCCTATTTTGCAGAAGAACAAATAGATTCAGGAAAGTAAAATGTTCTGTTTGAGATGATGCAGCTCTTAAGTGATTTTTTTCTTTTTTCTTTTTTAGCTTCAGCTCTTAACCTGCTAACTGTGATCTTTGCTGTGAAGGAGGTGGTGGGTCAGTGGCAGAATTCTTGCCTTCACGTGGGAGACCCAGGTTTAGCTCCTGTACAACATACCTCATGCAGAATCACTGCTTATCTGTCTGTGGGGGCTTGAGTGTTGCTGTGATGCTGCATAGGTTTCAGCTGAGCTTCCAGATGAAGACAAACCAAGAAGAAAGGCCTGGGGATCTACTTCTGAAAATGAGCCAAGGAAAACCCTGAGGATCACAACGATGTAATCCATAAAAATTCTGCTCATTTTGCATGGAATTGCCGTAAGTTGGGACAGACTGACTTCAGCGATGTCTTTGTGATCTCATTAGTGGATTATGTGTGGTGTATTGCATTTTAGCTTACTGCTTATTCAAGAATCAAGCTCTCTTTTTTTTTTCCCCGTCTTCTACTTTTGTGGAGAGGTTTATTTGCTGCATAGACAGCAGATTCTGTTTTTAATCATATTTCCCCAACAATACATAGGAGGGGAATTACTGGTTGAGGAAATTATTAAGCCATAAAACTAGAATTCATTAATAAGGGACTTGGTAGGCCACTGAAGTTACATCAAAATGTAACTTATCCTCCTCTGTTGTTGATAAGTGCCATTGAGTTAGTTCGGACTCATAGCAACTCTGTATAGAGTTTCCGAGGAGTGGCTGGTGGGTTTGAACTATTGACCTTCTGGTTATCCTACAGTGTCACACGAGGACTTCTTCACTAGGGGAGAGAATTCTGAGCTTTTTGGTGGATTCTCAAAAAGATCGGAAATGCCTCCAAACGTAAAGTTCTGCTGCTCTAAAGGATGCTGTTGAGGCGGTTCCGACTCGTAGTAACCCTGTAGAGGGTTTCTGAAGCTGTAATTCTTTATGGGAGCAGAAAGCCTCATCTGTCTCCCAAAGAGCAACTGGTGGACTCAAACTGCTGACCTTGTGGTTAGCAGCCCGGGGCTTGTCCTACAGAGCCACTGCATCCCCTATTGTTGTTAAGTGCTGCTGAGTTGGTTCCGACTGAGAGCAACCCTGTACAGGGTTTCCGAGGAGCAGCTGTTGGATTGAACTGCCGACCTTGTAGTTCACAGTTCAGTGCTGATCTTACAGTGCCACACCAGGAGTCTGCATTCCCTATTGTTGTTGTGAAGTGCCGTCAAGTCGATTCCGACCCATAGCGACCCTGTATAGGCTTTCTAAGGAGCAGCTGGTGAGCTTGAACTGTCGACCTTGCAGTTCAAACGGTTTTGCAGTCTGGCGCATTAACCCACAGTGCCACACCAGGACTCCTATTGTTGTTGTTGTTAGGTGCCATCGAGTTGGTACCGACCCATATTGACCTTATGCACAGCAGAACAAAACACTTTCCCATCCTGGGCCAATGTCACTATTGTTGCCATGCTTGAGTCCATTGACACTGCCACTTGGCTAATCCATCTCGTTGGGGGTCTTGCTTTTTTCCTCTGACCCTCCACTTTACCAAACATGATATTCTTCTCCAGCGACTGCTCCCTCCTGACAACATGTCCACAGTATGAAAGGACTCCTATTAGGATATTCTTAATTAGATAAATGCCAGGTAGATGGATCCACATTCCACTTGGTGTGTCGGTCGCAACTTAACTTTAATGATAAAGATTTCACTGATTATAAGATGCACTATCTTTGTCTTTTCTGCCATTTCTGAGATAGGGTAGCGTAGTGGTTACAAATCGGGCTGCTAACCTCAGGGTCAGCAGTTCAAAACTACCAGCTGTTCCGTGGGAGAAAGATGAGGCTTTCTGCTCCCGTAAAGATTTACAGCCTCAGAAACCCTGTACAGGGTCGCTATGAGTCAGAATTGACTCCACGGCACATTATAACAACAACTGAGATGGGGCAGAGGTGTCTTCCAATCAATGGTGTGCTGTAGTTTCTGCCACCAGGGGGTGTTCACGAGTCCCTGGATGAGCACAGGTATCACCCGTGGGTAGGCGCATCCCTGTTTGCAGAATGGGTGAAGCTCCTTGGGAGAACACTCAGGAGGTGACAGTGGAGCTCTCCTAACCTTTGGGAATAGTAGTTGGGGTCGTTGTTGTTAGCTGCTGTTGAGCTGCTCCCTAACTCATGGAGACCCCACACACGATGGTTCGGAGCCATCTCCAATGATCTGTTGCGATCAGACCATGGTGCTCCACAGAGTTTTCGTTGACTAATTTTTTTAAAAAAACACTTTATTGTGAATTGACTAAAGGTTTACAGACCATTGACTACTTTCTAAAAAGATCACCAGGGATTTCTTCCTAGCCCATCTTAGTCTGGAAGATCTGTTGAAATCTGCTCAGCCTCACAGCAACCCACCAGCTACACATGAGGTGCATTGGATGGAAATTGAACCAGGGTATCATACACGGGAAACAAAAATTCTACCACGGAATCAACACCACTAAGGGCTGTACCCACCACCCACAAGTCGATTCTACCCCATAGCAACTCTAAAGGGCAGAAAAGAACTGCCCCACAGGGTTTCCAAGGCTGTAAATCTTTATGGGAATGCACAGCTTCATCTTTCTTCCTATGGGTTCAAATCGTCAACCTTTCAAGTTAGCAACCCAGCAGGTAACCCACAGTACTACTAGTGCTCCTGGTAGAAGGGGGTACATGAAATGGGAAATGCTTCAACTGTATCCTTGAATCAAGAATTAAATGCAGGTTGGCTTTCAGGGTGAGAGTCAGACAAGAAAAGTGCCTAGGGCACAAAGCTGAAGGAGACCCTTCATTTTCAAATCAGTCCTGCATTTGCACAGCTCTATCTCCTGAATTTTTTGTCCTGGATGCCTCACTGTGGTTCCAGCCTTGCCTCTACACAACTGCAAAAACTCAACACCAGAGCCTTCCAGCTCTTTATGGATTCTTTTAGGAATCTGCCTGTGCACTGGTCTTGATGGTACAGCAGCAGAGCTGATTGGAAAACCAGACAGCCAAGACTGGAGTCAATGCAATTCAACAGAAGCACGGATAAACAAATGATGGTTCTCTCTCTCTCTCACACACACACACACACACCCCGGAATACTACAAAACATTCAAGAATAACAATGAACCTGGAGGACATGATGCTGAGTGAAATTAGTCACCAAAGGACAAATGTGTTATGAGACCATTATTGTAGACAGTTAAAAAAAAGGTTTCCATATTAAAAGAAACATTCTAAGATGATGCTAAGGTTGAGAGGGAAAAGGGGACAAACGACTAACTGGAATTGCTGTTAAGTGCTGTTCAGTCATTCTCGACTCACAGCTACTCTGTACAGGGCTTCTGAGGAGCAGCTGGTGGGTTTGAACTGCCAACTTTGCTGTAGTCCAGTGTTTATCCCATGTAGACCCATTTTAAGTTGGGTGAAGGTGAAGGCAATATAGAGCAGACAAAAAAAGTGATTGAAAAATGTCAGACTCTGCAGGTGGGGATGTTTAACATACATCAGAACCAATCTAGTTTGCTGATATTTTCACTGTAATGTTTTTATAAGTTGATAGTGTTGTAGAAGTACTGGACTGCTAATAGTAAAGTTGGGAGTTCAAACCCACCAGTCGCTCTGAGGAAGAAAGATGAGGCGATCAGCTCCTGTAAAAACATACAGCCTTGGAGACCCTGTACAGGGTGGCTATGCATCGCAATCAACCGCAGTGGGTTTGGTTTTGGTATTTTGGTTGTTGTTAGGTGTCGTTGAGTCTGTTCGGACTCATAAAGACCTGATGCACAACAGAACAAAACACTGCCCGGTCCTGTGCCATCTTAGCCCACTGAGGGTCTTCCTCTTTTGTGCTGACCCTCCACCTCATATGAGCAGCATACGATAAAAGTTTGTTTGAAAGACTCTTTGAATAAATCAAGAACAAACAAAGTCTGAGCAATGAAAACACACTACCATTATTTAGTTGGCCACATTTTTTTTTTTCCTTGTTCAGCGGAACATAAAATAATGGTGGCATCTTAGAGTTAATAACATGCAGTAGTAGTCTGGTTCTTAAGTTAGAGGCATCCGTAGGGCACAATAGTTAAGCATTCAGCTGTTAACTACATGGTTGGTGGTTCAAGTCTCCCAGCTTCTCTTTGGGAGAAAAAAATTTGGTGATCTGCTCCCATAGCCTTAGAAACCCTAGGGCCAAAATCAACTTCATGGCAGTGCGTTTGGTTTTTGGTGGGTCAGATTGAACTGATGGCACTTACTAACAACTAGCGTAGTGGTTACGAATCGGGCTGCGAACCTTAAGGTCAGCAGTTCGAAACTACCAACGGCTCTGAGGAGAAAGATGAGGCTTTCTGCTCCCGTAAAGATTTACAGCCTCGGAAACACTGTTCAGGGTCGCTATGCGTCAGAACCGACTCGATGGCACTTAACAACAACAACACTAGCAACTGAGTCCTGGTGTGGCACTGTGGGTTAATGCACCAGACTGCAAAACCATTTGAACTGCAAGGTCGGCAGTTCAAGCTCACCAGCTGCTCCTTGGAAACCCTATACAGGGTCATTATGGGTCGGAACTGACTCGACGGCACTACACAACAACAACAACAACAACTAGCAACTACAGCTCTTAGGCAGCACAAATGATTTATGACTGGCAGCCTCAAGTCGGCAGTTTGAACTCACCCATCTGTGGAAGAGAAAGCTTGGCAATCTGCTTCCATTAAAATGACAGCCAGAAAACCCTACGCAGCAGTTGTACTCTGTAACACAGGGTCACCGCAAGTTGGAGTTGACTCAGTAGCAACTAGCAGCAACAGCCACTGCAGATCCTTAGAAGGCGCTCACAATCCCTGCAGGTCAGTCCTGCTGCCCTCTGGCCCCTTTGTGCTGCTCTTGTGATCTTTTTACCTTTGCAAACGGGCAGGGGTCCGTTCCAGTGGGACGGCTGTCCCAGGATACACCGGATGGTGACTTCACCCATGAGCTCGAAGCCTTCGTAACACATGAAGGTGAGGGACTCTCCTGGCAGGTAGAGACGTTTGTACAGGATTTGGTATCCGTTTTCAGGTAACCCTGGGTTGTCACAAGCCAGTGATTCCTCCGCTGAAATGAGAGCCAAAAGGAGCTCGAGTAAGAGGCTGCAAATCTTTGGGGCCCCTCCCAGGTCCCAGTAGCCTGGATGGCACAGTGGGTGAAGAGTTTGGCTGCTAACTGCAAGGTCAGTTGTCAAACCCACCAATTGCTCTGTGGGAAAAAGATGAAGGTGTTTGCTCCTGGAAAGATTTATAATCTTGGAAGCTCCGTGGAGCAGCTCTCCTCTGTCCTAGATGGTCTCTTTGAGTTGGAATCAACTTGACAGCAATGTTTTTTGTTGTTTTCTTAAAAAACAGGTTCCTAGGAGTTTTGCTGGCACACTAGCTAAGCGATCAGCTGCTAACTGCAAGGTTGGCATTTCTAACCCTCCTGCTGCTCTGCAGGAGGAAAGTGAGGCTTCTTCTATAAATGTTACAGTCTTGGACACCCCATGGAGCAGCAGTTCTACCTGCTGTGACCTAGAGGGTCACTTCATCTCGTTCCACTGCCACTGAGTCACTCCCGACTCATAGTGACCCTGAGTAGGGTTTCTGAGGCTGCAAATCTTTACGGGAGCAAAGAGCCTCATCTTTCTCCAGTGGAGCAGCTGGTGGATTTAATCTACCAATTTGTGGTTAAGCTTGTCCAGTGCTTATCTTACAGATCCCCCAGGGCTTCTTGGAGGGTCACTGTGCGTTATAGATTGACTCGTGGCAATGGGTTTGATTTCACTAGGTCCTTGGGTGGTGCAAACGGTTGGCCCTCAGTTAGTAAACAAGCAATTGGGGGTCCAACCTCACCTAGCACTGCAGAAGAAAGTCCTGCCAATCATGTCTATAAAGATGTCTTAAACCCTACAAGGCAGTCCTATTTTAACACATGGGTTCAGAATCAACTCAGTGGCAACTAACAACAACAGAGCCTGGAGAGTTGTTCCCACAACCCTGAGATCTGAGTGGTCTGACTTTGGCCAGCCTCTCCTGCATCTTCTCTCTCCAGCTCATCTACACTGAACTGTTTCCCATTCCTCCAACTTCTTTCCCACTTCTGGGTGCAGGTTAGGCACAGTCACAAGAGAATGAATCCAGCTGGAGACACTAACGCTCTGGGTTCAATCTGGGTGTGGTATGAATTAGCTGTGTGATTCCCAATAAGTAACACAACCTCTCTGTGTTTCAGTTTCCTCATCAGTAAAATCATAGGAATTTGGAGGATTAAAGAATTAGTTGCTGTTGAATCAATTCTGACTCATGGTGACCCATGTGTACAGGGTAAAATCGCTCCATAAAGTTTTTGTGCCTGTTTATTCGAATGAAAGCTGGTTGCCAGGTCTCTTCTTCCGCAACTCTGCTGGGTGGGTTAGCCCAAATCTACTAAATAAAATGCTGAGGTGGTCTGCCAGCCAGTTGATTTGGACTCATAATGACTCTATAGGACAGATAGAACTTCCCTATAGGGTGTTCTTGGCTGTAATCTTTATGGGAGCTGACACCCAGGCCCTTTCTTTTGTGGAGCCACTATGGGTTCAAACTGCTGTCTTCTCTGTAAGTAACCACGTGCTTAACCATTGCAACACCAGGGCTCCTTTTGTTACATTAAATACCAAACCAAAAAACCCCAATCCATGGCCACAAGTCAATCCCTATCCGTAACAACCCTTTAGGTCTGAGCACAACTGCTCTATAGGGTTTCCAAGACTGTCACCTGTATGGAAGCAGATGGTCTCATCCTTCTCCCCCCAGTGTAGCTGATGGGTTTGAACCTTTCAGTTAGTATCTGAGTGCTTAACCACTGTGCCTCTAGGGGTCCTTATTAAATAAGATTTCCAGTCAATTTCAACTCATAGCAACCCAGTACGACAGAGCATATCTGTTCCTTTGCGTTTCTGAGACAATCTTTATTGCAGCAGACAGCCTCATCTTTCTCCTACGGGGTGGTTGGTGGGTTTGAACTGCCAATCTTTTAGTTAAAAAGCAGTCAAGTGCTTAACCAATGCACCATCAGGGCTCCTTGTTAAAGTAATGGGTGTAAAATCCTTAGCACATACTTGCTGTTGTTGTTAAGTGCCATTGAGTTGGGTCCAATCCATAACGATCCTGTATAGGGTTTCAGAGGAGTGGAAATGGCCTGTGGAAGTCAGAAGTCAGTGGCGGGAGAAGGCGGGCAGTGTTACGGAGTGTCGGAAAGCGAGGGGGCTACAGGGGAATGCTGCTGAGTCTTTGGCAGTGGCTCAGTAACTGGGCTTTTTTCAAAGTTTTTATTGTGAGGTTTACATGGCATCATATTTCGTGTCATTGCAATGATTACAATTTCCTCCATGCATCATCAAATAACCCCAAAAGGTACACCACACAGGCCTAATGGCCCCCCACCCCCACCCCCTCACCCCCCCCCGGCCGCCAGCACACACACAGCCCTTCTCCCTCTGTCCAAATCATCATCTCTGTCTCCATCCCTGGCGTCACTGCCTCTCTGGGTAGGGTTCTGCTCTCCATTCTTCTCACTTGATGGCCCCAGGGACCTCTGCTCCTGGTCTGCAAAATCAATCGCTCCCCTCCTTTTGTCAAAAAACATCTCCTCTCTATTTCCTAGCCTCACAGTCAGTCCTGATGGCAATCATTCACTATTGTACCACAAGAGTCTTATCCTCATTTCCTTTTGCTAGCCCGGTCCCAATGGATTGGAAATCATTCAATGGAGATTCTACCTTCCCCTGCCCTGTCTGAAACTAGGCTTCCTTTTGAAAGTTTGTAAACCAGTCACTTCTTGCCTTTATATGCTCCTCCCTCCCCAATTTGGGGTAGCCAATGTCTATGTTGCCCATCCTTGTCAACTCTGTGTACCGTGGGGGTGGGAGTGATCCTCGCTGTAAAAATTTGTTCCCTTTTTTGAGCTACTACATCCATAATACCAAATACTATAATAAAATATGCAAAAATTTAGAATTAGAAAACCAAAAAGGAAGAACACGGTCAGCATTTCTCAAGCTGGGGCAACTGAAGAAAAATTCAAGCCTCAACTTTCATTATTGAAAGATTCTCTGGGCAAATTATTGAATGATGCAGAATGCATCAAGAAAAGATGGAAGGAATACAC